GGAGATGAACCTTCGACCGTTTTTCATTTGCCTTTTCCTTTCTCTGGGTAACAGCTTTACGATGTGCCAGTGATTTTTTGACGTGGTAATCCTTACGGAAATCTCGTAGGAATTGCCCAGCACCCATCTTTATATAGCGAGTGGTTACCTCATCATAAATTTCATGAACTAAAACCTTATAAAAAAAATGCATAAGTGATCAAGGAATTCGTTACACTTGCACCGTAGCCATTACACGATATTACAAAAAGATTACCTGATCTTCAGTTGTTTCCAAATCAAACAACTTGATAAACTCCTGTTTTAAAGACGCGTTGTTTGACACCTCTTTCATCATGATGTTTATCATTTCCGTTTGCAAAGATGCAAGCCTTCGATGGTTGATTCTATTCACTCTTTCTTGCTCGAGTAATAGGAAGAATGCATACGCACTATCGCTGATGTGCAGCAAACCTCTTTCACGGAATTGTCGCGCCTCGATAGCTTCTAGAGTTTCGGGTCTGCTTGTTGTTTTCTCAAGGATTTGGAAAGGAACGATAACGTTGTTCTCCAAAAGATTAACTTTCTGTATCTCTCTAGTGACTTTCTTTAGAACTATCGTGGAATCTGAGAATTTGTTATCAATAGCGTATCTGCGACTCTTATCCAATGATTTTCTTATCGCCCATCCACCAATATAACGAAGCTTTCCACGTCCACTTGCTTCCATATCAGTCACGTTGAAGAAAACAGGCTCTTCCTCCTCCTGTTTTCGGACTCGCTTTCCCACTTCTGCTAAGAATAGTTGGTGCATATAAAACACTAGTTGAACCGCGAGACTCCTTTGACCATCGTCTATATCTGACCACTGGTGAACGTTAAATGCGCTTACCACATCACTTCTGTATTCGTTGGTTATAAACAGTTCATTGACCTTTGCCATGGTGCACGTGAAGTTCTTATTGGTCATGTGAACTTCTTCGAGATTCTCCGTTAAATACGTCTGGAACACGTCAGAGATTCTTCACCAGAGTATACAAGGCAATAATTGGAACGAGTCTAAATTCTTTTCCATTTCTTTTACACTGCTTGTCAATCTCCTTCACCAGAGTAGATTTCCCTACACCTCCCTTGCCAAAGATGCACATATTGTGCCCGCTTTCAGCAAACTTCAATATATGAAGCTGCTCGTTGGTTAGTGTAACTCCGCTACTTGACATACCCGATCTAGAAAAGCGCATAAATGAAAGAACGTTATACAATTCATGCATTGTCCTCGCGCGATTTTTGTTTCTTAGATTATTCTAATGAGCACGTGCTGTGGTTTCATCATTCATACTCTAGCGCAAGCGCCTAGACAGATGACGTAGCAGTCAAACAGGTTTTTCAAGCTAAATTTCGAAGTTTGCTTGCCAGTCAACAGTTGCTCGTGGTTGGAATGTGTGCTTGGTTGTTTTTCAACTGCTGGAATTTACTTTCCTGTTGATTTGCAAAAGATCGACAGCTGTCACAGTTCTCAAAATAAGGTACATAAATGCAGGAAACTGTTGTTGTATTGAAAGTAAAGTTTTAAGCATAATTTCTCAATGTTATTCGCCTGCAACTGATATTTTTATGTCAATTGTTTTTCTCCATTTTTGCTTCTTGCACTATAGCGGTCTGAATAGTTTACCAACTCGAGTTTGTGTTTTGTTGGACGATAGAAAGTCCTTTTTCCAGTCGAAAACGATTTCATCGACCCTTTCATATTACTTAAAAACGTACTTCGGGAAAATACTGGCTTCACGCCATTTTCACGTTGCGAATTCCGTCTAGCTGGCACAGTATTGAACAAAGGTTTTTAAAAGCGCCCTGTGCCAGGCAATATATGCTTCAGGCATTAAGAAACACTGTTTTTGTTTTAGTCTCGATATATTAAATGCCACAGTATGTTTATTCAGATTTTGGATGTATTTGTCAGAGCAAAATATAGTCTGTCCGGGGCCGAGTGTATGTAGCTACATATGTTATGTTGCAGTATTTTAAAAATATTATACCGAGCTGTAATTTTTCTAAAAAGCATTTTGAATTCACGTATCTCAGGACATTGTACTTTCATTTCTCGCTTGTTTTATACGTGAGCACCTGAGTTTGGCACAGGGGATTTTTTAAGGGCCGGCAATTTCGCGTATATATTATTGAAAAAAAAATGTTATATAGCGCCAACCGGTGATTGTAACAGTGTATTAAAGAATTAAAAACAAAACGTCTTACCAAACAGTGAAACTTTGACTTTGTATGTCCATTTCAGCCAAGGGAAACTATCCGGAAAAGTTTAATTTAACTTTTTTGTCACGGCCTCTTTCGGATGTAATATAATACACGGTTAAACTTCAGAAAAATACATAAACATACAATTGTATTATGCTTACCAACTTAAATAATATTCTTTTGCATTCACATGTTGGTTTTCTTCATCAACGCGTTCAAAAATCGCTGTTTCATTTATTTATTTCCTATTTATCCTTGTCTATAGGGAGCGATAGATACCTTGCTGCCGTCCGTCACCCCCCGGTTTCATGTTTTCCTCGCTTATGGTGTGGATTACAAGAGCCAATGAATGACCAAGTTTAATTTTAAAAATTTCAACGGCAATAGGATGAGAGGATCCCGCATAGTTACAGACACAATATCGGCAAAATATCTTAATATTTTGTTCATTTATGGGCTATTTAAAGTGTACTTTGACAAAAAAAGTTGCCGACAGGTTAGTAAAATTATCCTTGTTTATATTTGTGTTGTTTTTAAAGCTGGTTTCTTTCTGCTTTCAATAAAATACGTATTTATTTCGTGTGTGTATTTCGAAAAGTTCAAAGAGTTGCCAACCTTATGAAATTAACTATATAGTATATACGTCATATCAGTGTCAAGTCGTGCGTAAATAAATCAGCTACAATTCGCTAGCTTGAAACGTTCTGGCTTTCCTTGTAACAATTTATAATGTGAATTCACTACATTTAATAATTTTTTGAAAATATTTACAACATTTAATGGGCCGCCTATGGGGTAACTTTTGCTAATGTGCTACAAGATTGTCATAAACTATACCACTCTTGAGAAAAGTCACCCCAAAGTGAAATTTGACACTCCTCTAACGAATTCTATTACTGGGGTAACTTTTGCTAATGTGCTACAAGAATGTCATAAACTACACCACTCTTGAGAAAAGTCACCCCAAAATGAAATTTGACACCTATCTAATGAATTATATTACTGGGGCAACTTTGCTAATGTGCTGCAAGAATGTCATAAACTACACTACTCTTGAGAAAAGTCGCCCCAAAATGAAATTTGACACCTATCTAATGAAATATATTACTGGGGCAACTTTGCTAATGTGCTACAAGAATGTCATAAACTACACCACTCTTGAGAAAAGTCGCCCGAAAATTAAATTTGACCCTCGTCTAATGAACTCTATTACTGGGGTAACTTTTGCTAATGGCTGCAAGAATGTGTTAAACTACACCACTCTTGAAGAAAGTCACCCCAAAATGAAATTTGACCCTTGTCTAATGAATTCTGTAACTGGGGTAACTTTTGCTAATGTGCTGCAAGAATGTCATAAACTACACCACTCTTGAGAAAAGTGACCCCAAAATGAAATTTGACGCTTATCTAATGAATTATATTACTGGGGCAACTTTTGCTAATCTGCTACAAGAATGTCATAAACTTCACCACTCTTGAGAAAAGTCGCCCGAAAATTAAATTTGACCCTCGTCTAATGAACTCTATTACTGGGGTAACTTTTGCTAATGTGCTGCAAGAATGTCATAAACTACACCACTCTTGAGGAAAGTCACCCCAAAATGAAATTTGACCCTTGTCTAATGAATTCTCTAACTGGAGTAACTTTTGCTAATGTGTGCTACAAGAATGTCATAAACTATACCACTCTTGAGAAAACTCACCCCAAAATGAAATTTCACACTCATCTAATGAATTGTATTACTAGGGTAACTTTTGGTAATGTGCTACAAGAATGTCATAAACTACACCACTCTGAGAAAAGTTGCTCAAAATGAAATTTGTCACTCGTCTAATTAACTGTATTACTGGGCTTACTTTTGCTAATGTGCTACAAGAATGTCATAAACTACACCACTCTTGAGAGAAGTCACCCCAAAATAAAATTTGACACTCATCTAATGAACTCTGTTACTGGGGTAACTTTTGCTAATTTGCTACAAGAATGTCATAAACTAGACCACTTTTGAGAAAACTCACACCAAAATGAAATTTGACACTTGTCTAATGAATTGTATTACTGGGGTAACTTCAACCTCGTACCCAGGTTCTTTTCTCTTTGCTCACTCTCTGTGCTCACTCTGGGGGGAGCACCCGCTGAGAAAAGACCCTGGTATCGGCTGGTCACGTGTCTCCCAGAATCTGGGAGGTAACAAAAATAATAACTAAGGGTAGGGTAGCTGAGTATTATGTTTATGCGCGATGAGTTTTGCTGCGAAAATGCCGAGGAGTGAGAAATCATATTTAGCCTGTAGGATATGAAAAGCTATGAGCGATCAAATATTACGGAAATAAATACCGCAAGAAGTGTTGACAGTCTATTTATCTCAAACCATATCAAGTAACATATCAAATTACAATCGAGGAACATGTGCTTCAGTCTCAAAGCTCATTTTACTGTCCGGAATGGCTTCGAAGGAAACACCTGTAAAAGCGTATCGAGCTTTTAATCCTTCCACAAATTCTTCTTCTTGTCGACTATGCAGAACTGTTGGCGATCCCAATCACCGCAAGAACTTATTCAAGCCTGCGAATCGAGCTTTGCTGATAATTGCCGAGAAAATTTGCGGTCATTCTATTGTTTACGTCACGAATTTACCGCATCTTTTATGTCGACCATGCGAACGCAGGCTTAAAAATACTATAGCCTTTCAGCAGATAATTGTGGAGACCGAGCAGTCATTTCGCCAGTCCTATCAGACCCGTTTCAAACGTTGTACCGATGTTTCTCCGTCTATTTCCCAACCGCCAAGATCACGCCAAGCAACATCAACTGCGGCGCCTTTAGCGAGGCATTCAGCAAGAACTTCGTTGTCGTTTGATTCTTGTCACGATCAAGAGTCCAGTGTGAATTATGATATAGAAGTGAGTACGCAATACTCTTTTTTTTTCGGACAGTTGTAAATGTAAATGGCAAGTTTTGAATATAACTATGCGAATTCCCGCAAACAATGCAAAATTTTGAAAGAAACATTATTATGCAAAAATATGTAAATTCACTTTGTGTAAACAAATATACACCAAGGGCCGGTTGTTCAAAAGGGGTTTAGCTTAAACGATAGATAAGTTCAAAACGGAAAACAAAATTACCTATTTATTGAACAACTGAGCTGAAATATTTCGATATAAGTTGTTTAATTTTCCATGGAAGAACATATTCAATACATAAGATGTAGTTTCAGTCACAAGATGTATGAGAGTATTTTTACCTTTGGCTTATCTACCTAAACTTTGGGTTATCTACCGTTTAAGCTAAACACCTTTCGCACAACAGGCATCTGCTATCAATTTGCCATCATACTTCAGATTCCTTCCCTTCATATTAAAATAAATATCCCATACAGCGACCAAAAACAAATGATGATTGAAAATGTGTAAATGAAATCTTCATGTTTCAGTATACTACAGTTTCATATACCGCCTCAAATCTGTTGTAGAATGTAAATCCTTTGCAAGCTGGTTACAATGAGCAACTTAAAATTGCCAACAATGAATTGGTAAATATTGCTAGAAGAGATGAACCATCTGTGCTAAGAGATCGGTCCTATGCAGGTTTGTCCCAGGAAACGTGGATGGTTGAAGTTATAAAAGAACTTTCCACTAGATGCCCCACAGTTGCAGATATCTTATCAAGCTTGCTCGATTGTTCGATGGAGAACCTTGGCAAGAAGTTATCTCCCATTTGCCTGATTTATAGCATCATCATGTTTATGAGATGTCATGAGCTGAGCAGAATTCAGAGAATTAACACTGTCATTCTGACTGATGGAAAGGCATCAACAAATGTAGGTTCATATAGCATGCTTTTTGAAATATTATATACTGTTGCAGCCAAAAGTGAATAGTCTCCAAAAGGTTTAAGGAGAAAACTGTATTGTGATAGACAATAAGTATAAAGTACAGTGGTAATAGCTCCTCAATATGTTAGTGCCAAATTATTTCACATGCTTTACCACATTACTTGTGGAAGGGCTGATCCAGATCCACCTAAATATGACTTACGTGGAATTTAACATGTTTTACTGGTTTCACTTGTTTGTTCCTTGTATCTCATTTGCGGCAAAAGTACAAAGCTTCCTGTGCATTTTTCTGTAAATTGTTCAGTGTTACATAAATTAGAGGGTACAGAAAAATACATAGTCTCTATCTACTAAGTATCAAAACAAAGAAGGGGTAATAATATTTTAAATGATTGAACTCATCATATAAAATGAACTCTTCACTCTATCATTGTGTTCAATATAAAAAAAACAATAGTGGAACACTTAACACTTTACAGCAACATCACTAAAGTGGGAAGGGTTTTGTATTCTAACTGTGTATTTCTGTAAATATGCACTGTAATCATACTAAACTATACACTAACTACTAAAACCAACACAAGTTATCATTATGACTGTCATACTAAATCTATTTAATTTATTATTTATAGTTGCTTGAGCGACTAAACAAGTATGGCATATGTCTCAGCCCTTCTAAAAAGTATGTTGTCCTTGATGACATTGGCAAACACTTTTTGGATCATGCAGTGGAGTTGGTGAAGGCTGGGAAGAAGTTTGTCTTCGTTGTCGACAACATAGATTGGGAGGAGAAGGTGCATGATATGCGAAAAATTCATCAAAATAAGAGTGTCCATGCTGTTGCTACCAGCATGGTATTCACCCGAGTTTCAAGTGACCACCTACCTGATGATGGCCCTCAGAAAGATATAAAAACTTGCAACTTCCGAGAAATAGTTGACATGAAGGATGAAGAGCTAAAGGAGATTCACTATCGTTACAAGATATTGGTAGCAAGAGTCTTAATCAAGATGTTTCCAGAATTCAGCAGAATTAAATCATACATATCTCAGGAGCTTCTACTCACTCATGAACATTCTGATACAGCATCTTGTAAGTCAGAAATTATTACTATGCCTGTACTAATGAAAGATGAGAAAAGTATAGCGATTGTGTTGATGTTCTTGACCAGCTGGAAGAGTGGACACACGAGATATACAAGGCAAGTGGCAAGTGTCAAGATCATGCAGACCATGCATCTGCTTCCCATCCCTTGATAGAAGTTCCAACACGACCAGATCAACCAAGATCCCACATTCCACCTTCTACTCAAAATTCTGATCCACTTCAAGGAGTAAAAGTTGCTTGCTTTGGCGATGAGTTTAACAAGAGTGAGGTTTGCTGGAGCACGTGACCTTCGTTCTGGTTGTCACACAGCGAAGCAGCGACTTGATCATTTATATCCATATCGAATTGTTGGATGGCATACAAAGAGGAGTTTTTTAAAGGTGAGCCTCAATTTTTCCTTTTAGTATAGCCAGAATGTTGGTTAAAGTTGTTTTGTAAATCTGTATATAATAAATCTGTTATGACGATGGTATGCCATGAATTGTCTTTAGGAGCACCAGGGCCTATCAGAGAAGTGTTGGGACCCAGGTAATAAACTGTACCCTGGGCCCCCAGCCTCAGTCTTCCCTCTGAAAAGTCCTGCAAATGACAAAATTACTTAGACTATCCAACCTGCCTATCTACAGACTACAGTGTTAGTAACCTCCATCTCAGGGCACTTTTCATATACCATGGGTACAAGGTTTCAGTGTTTGCAAGGTAATTATAACTTGTAATTTTTTTTTTAGTCTGTCTTTAAACGGCTGTACAAAAACTCCAGCAGAGAACATGGCACATTGAGATACTTTCGGGAAGTGCTTAACAGAAGAAATGTGACAGTTGACATCAAGCACTACGAACACTGTGAGCAGTTCTTCATGAGTGTTGGTCACTGTTATCTGATTGAAGCACTGCTTCAGTTCTTCAAGATGGAAGATATTAAAGGGTTGCCAAAAGAGAACGATCCTTTTCTCCATCACAATGAAAGTGATGAAGAAAAGAAGGCCCATGTTTTAGAAGTACTGGACAAGTTTGTTCAACAGTTTCTTTGTCCAACTGATGTTGATGACAGTACTGACTCTTTAGATGATGACAGCACTACCTCAGATGGTGTATTTAATTATGCACTCAACCTATTGAAGTCATTTATGGTTCTTCTGGATTGCAAGGATGCTGTAGCTTCTGGAAATGGTGAGCATTTGGCCACAATCCAGAAACAGATGTTATTCTATTTCTCATCTGTTTCTGGATATAATGTTTATGCCATTGAGATGCTTATATTTACCATCCAGAATGAAATATTGTTATCACCTCGAGAAGCACATCAGTGTAAATGGGCAGCTTTGGCTAACTGGAGCGGAGGTAAAGACAAAAACATAGAGATTGATTTATTACAGGAAAACCGGAATGCAGATCTCAAAGGGCTTATTCGGATGATGGGGGCCAACAAGACAGAGAAAGCCATTGGGAGGATGAGTAAAGCTGCTGGAGGGGTACGTAAGATCGTTGATGTGTTCGATGAACAGGCATCCATTAGACGTAAATCTTCAGCCCATTCCCATCGTCTAAAGATGAGAATAAAATCTCCTCAGATTTGCACAAATTAAAGCCCTTCGCTTTCCTGGGTGGTCGATCTCACTCTTCATTTGTGGGGATTTCTTCAGACCCATTGGAAGATTTAAATGAAGAAGCGTTTTGTGAATGGCTTAAGCGACATCAAAGGAATATTGCATTGCATTTCCCAACAGTTGAAGAAGCGCCTACTGTACATGCAGACGCAGAGGATGATGAACAAAGTGAGGATTTCAGTGAACTAATGCACTCGCTATTAATTGATGACGTCACAGATGATATCTAAAACAACACTAAATTGCCATTACCCATATATAGTCTGAAGGAACATTTGCCTGTTCCCTCTACTGTCTTTCTATACTATTTCTGAATGTTTTCACTTGTTTATGTGGAATAACCTTGAACATCAATTAGTTGACAAAGTTACTTGAATCCAAATTATTAATGTTCAATGTTATCATCAAGTAAGAGTAATTGTCTTTGTCTTTAAAAAGATCCTTTCTAGGCAAATTACTTGTTTAGGTTTTAAAACAACTTCGCTGTAAAAGCTATTTAACAGAGCGAACTCTAAGCACGAGAGAAAATGCCGACACTTTGAGTTTTTCAACATGGCGACTTGCGGGATAGCCTGCGATCGGGCTCTCATATAGGCAGCCGATATGCCACCCCCCCCCAAAGGTTGACAATTTTCCTAAGGTCACATGACCAGCCGACACCAGGGTCTTTCCCGCAGTGCTTTCCCCCCACTGTGCCCCCAGGAAAGCCTACAAAAGACCCTGGGTACGAGGTTGGGGTAACTTTTGCTAATGTGCTACAAGATTGTCATAAATTATACCACTCTTGAGAAAAGTCACCCCAAAGTGAAATTTCACACTCCTCTAACGAATTCTATTACTGGGGTAACTTTTGCTAATGTGCTACAAGAATGTCATAAACTACACCACTCTTGAGAAAAGTCGCCGGAAAATTAAATTTGACCCTTGTCTAATGAACTCTATTACTGGGGTAACTTTTGCTAATGTGCTGCAAGACTGTCATAAACTACACCACTCTTGAGGAAAGTCACCCTAAAATGAAACTTGACCCTTGTCTAATGAATTCTGTAACTGGGGTAACTTTTGCTAATGTGTGCTACAAGAATATCATAAACTAAATCACTCTTGAGAAAACTCACCCCAAAATGAAATTTGACACTCATCTAATGAATTGTATTACTAGGGTAACTTTTGGTAATGTGCTACTGTAACCCGAATAAGTACAATTAGGGCACCTGTGCCGAATACGGCCCATAAGGCCATTGAAGCCGGGTTTCGGAAAAAACAACGTGTTGATATAGTATCTCTTTAGGAAAAGGTTTTGGGTTTTTTTTATATTAACATAAATACATAAATTCTGTGATTAATCGTAGATTTCGATGGATGAATACCCAGGGTAACATTTGGTGTCAGGAGTGGGATTATTTTCAAGGAAATTTCACGATTAAAGCTGCGAAATTAGAGGTTTGAAACGATAAATATACGTATAAATATAAAAATTGTGGAACATTTTTTATATAAATTTGGGATTTTGTGGCTGCCAAAGACTATATTAGTATGGCTGTCGATCTCGAAGAACTTCAACTTCAATTGGAAAAGAAACTGTGCGAAGTAAGTCAAGATACGTTAGTAAAACTTGCAGTATTTCTCGAGTGGGATGAAGGAAAATATGTGGGGAAGTCAAAGCTTAGTATTGCTCGATTACTACGAAGAGATATCGAAGAGCAGGTATCCCAGTTTGAAAGTGAGGATGAATGTCGCTCTTTCTTGGGTAAAATAAAAGAACAGTTGCTTGAGGTTACTGAGGAAGAGGCGATTGGGAAAGAATCCCCTGGGATAGTAAACAAGGAATTGGAAGTGTTGAAAGCACAACTCGACAACTTGGAAAAAGACCATCAAAAGCAAGTGGAAGCTCTCCAGGCAAAGATGGAACAAACTGAACTGAAGGCAAGTCAAGTGACAACAACAACAACTGTAAGTAAACCAATTGCAAATGATCTTAAGCAAGTATTGCGTAGGGAGTTCAAGATTAATGGGCAAATAGGAGAACCTGGTCAAAAAGATAAACTCACTTTTGTAAGCTTGGTCAGGCAGATTGAAAGTGCATTGTCAAAGGGTTACCCAGAGGCTGAGGTGACTGATGCTGTCATAAGGGCAATTACCCCTAGCATGCAGTTGCGAAGTTACCTAGAGACGATAAGCAATTTGGAGTTGCCGAGGTTACGTGCAATCCTGAGATCACACTTTCAGGAGAAAAGTGCTACCGAGCTATATCAACAATTAACAACAATTGTACAAGCACCAGAAGAGAGCCCACAGAGCTTTTTGATAAGAGCTTTAGACTTGGGTCAAAAGGTTCTCTTTGCCTCTAAAGAAGCAGGGGTAAAGATTAAATATGATGAAAATCTGGTTCAGGGTTTGTTTTTACACTCACTTGAAACTGGACTTCATCATGAAGCAGTAAGAACAAAGCTACGCCCATTCTTACAGCAGTCAGATATAACAGATGAACTGTTAATAGAGCAAATGAACCGGATTGTATCGACTGAAACAGAGCGGCAAAAGAAATTTGGTAAAGCAAGTCAGACAAGACAAAGAAATGTCTATAATGTTCAAGCAGCAAACTCTACAACAGTTGAGGGTGAACACCCAGTTGAACAAGACCATCCAGTGAAAGAGAAGAAAGCACCCAAGCAAGGTGAGCTAGTAACAGCAATAAGAACAGTACAAGCAGAACTTGCTGAGCTCACGGAAACAATTACAAATCAACAAGCAAAGAGTAAAGAGCAAGAAATGAGCCACACGGATGACCAACCTGGTCACACGAAACGACTGTGTACAAAGTGTCAGGAAACCAATAGTGTGAACTGTGATCACTGCTTCTGATGTGGCAGTTCTGACCACTTTGCCAGAGGATGTAAGAAGAGACAGAACTCGGGAAATGGGAGATGGCTACCGCCGAGGGACAGGAAGTAGCCAGTAAACCAAGTAAGTCCCATTTTTGTGCTAAATGTCTAAAGATTGAACAGTGTGAAAAACCATTTCCCAGATGTTCTGGCTGCCAACTAGTGAGATATTGTTCAAGAGAGTGCCAAAAGCAGCACTGGGGAGAACATAAAATACTATGCATGTCAGTCAGAGAATTTAAAGTAGATAACAATGCTCAGAGAAATTCAGATCATGGAACATATGTGAGCCATTTAAGCCCACTTGAGTATTCGAAAGTGGTGGGTTTAGTGGGTAAAAGATGTATGGTACATTGTCAGTTAAATGGACAAAAGGTACATTCATTATGGGACACTGGTGCACAAGTGTCACTGATCTCTAAGAAATGGTTGGATGAACATTTGCCTCATTTACCCCTTAATAATATTGAAACCTTGCTTCAGGATGGAACTGAACTGGACTTGAAAAAACTGCAAATGGGACATGCATGCCATATATGGATTTGTTGTTGGTTAAGTTTAAATTATAGAACATCAAGTATTGACCAAACAATACTTGTACCAATGTTAGTGACTCGTGAAACACTTGACTATCCAATAATTGGATATAATGTCATA